GAAAAAGATACGTGTTTAAAAATTAATTAGTGGCCAATATTCCAAAGAAGATAATCTGTTTACTTTCTAAATCCAAAGAAAATAATTGCACCATTATTAAACTTTTGTTGCGAACTGATGAGCTGGTTTATGCTCTACACTCAAATTACTTTAGTTCATGGAGGCCATGCAGATACTTTGTCCTTTTGTAAATTAAAAATTATGGAATTATTTTAATATATGAAAATTGATAACTTTGAAAATTAAAATTTGATAATAGTTTATGTACTCTCTCCTTTCTAATTATTTTATATTATTAAAATAAAATTACCAATCATATTAACTATGTAATAAAATTTAGTCATTTTCGTATACATTGTATTATGATTTTTTTTTAAATGACTACTACTTACTAAAAATTTAATTTTAATTGAATTTTTTATAATTAATAATTTAATTTTATATAACAAAATATAAATATCATAAATCATATGTGTAGTAAATGTCATTTGATAGGTATTTATATATATTTACGTTTATATCATTTAACTTAAACTGAAACCATATAAAAATAAATATTTAATTCGAGATTTTAAAAATATTATGGTACTCGAATTGATAAAAATTAAATAATTTTATAATTTTAATTTGATTAAGTCATTTAATTTTATTCATATAGATTTTGTTATTATTTAAGAGAAATAAACAATGTAGTAAATAAATATTTATAAAATATCTCTGTCTGCTATGGTACGTGTTATTACCTATTAATTAATAGTATTTAAATGGAAACATATTACTGTAAACAAAAGTCAGCAATTGCATGCATTATGGACAACGAGGAACGCCGAACGACCTTTTCTTTATCTCTTTCCCTTTATCTTTTATTTCTTTAGTAGAAAAGTAATCAAATTAGGGAATCTTATCACTCTATTAAGATTATTTAGATAATTATACTCAGCCTTTGTAATTTTCTATACAAAAGTTCAGATACAAGAAGTCAAGTTATTTTCCATTCAACAAAAAAAAACTTTATTCGTGCAGCCCAAAAATCGTTAAATAACTTTTGTGTTAAAAGTGGAATATTTACAAAAACAATTATAATTTACTGAAATATACGACTTTTTTAATTTTATTTCAAAACGTGGGTTATTTTCTTTCAGAGAAAAGAAGAAAAGCGGATTACTTTCTTTAGAAGGTTATTTATTTCACATATGTAACACGTATATTATATTTCTAAGATATGCCATAGTCTTCAATGAATTAGTATGTAATATTTTAATTAATCCGGACTAGTTTTAAACCGTCGATTAGTCCATTCAACCAGGTTTCTCGCAGTTATCTACCGTGGCTACATCACTTACTCGCTTGGGAAGCTCAACAAGAAGAGGAATAGGTGAATTCTCTTTCATTTTCCTTGGTATCTAATAACATCTAGGGAAAATTTGGAAAATAAACTAGTATTAGATTTTTATTTGGAAACTACACCCTCATTTGTATTATTTGAAAACTATGTTTTTGTATGTGTGAATTGACTAAATTATGCAATCTGAATTTAAAAATTATTATTTTAATTTTGTTATTATAAAAGATTTAATATTAAACTTATCACTTCAACAAGAATATATTTTCAAAACAAAATCTTAATAATATCTACACAATCTTATATTTTTATTAACAACAAGAAAAGAAAACAAGTATCTCCTGCGGCTTATAGTATCCTCTCTTTGCAAACTATATTATCTTTCTTTTTGTTTCATAGTTTTTTGGTGTAATATTTTTTTGTGTAATTTCGTTTCATAGTTTCTTCTTCTTTTCAATCACATGTTTTTTTTTTTTTTTCTGAAAAAAGCTTTATGTTTATTATTTCTTCAGCCAATTTGGTTTCGTGATCTCGTTTTCTATTCCTGCCCACATAATATCTTTCTTTTCAAAATTCAGAGAAACAAAGTTAAAAAAAAATATCAGAGACATAAAATTTACGAAAGATGCAAATATCAGTCAAAATACAATTTACTAAAGATAACGTACATTCATCGTAACACATTTGGATAGTCATTTAAAGCTCACTTGACAGAAAATGACTTGTAGAAGATTGTATATGTATGTAAAGAGTGACCTGATTACTTTTGTATGAGGACTAAGGATTGTTGTGCAACTTAATTTATAACAGGTTTATACAGATAAACTTTGTCAAAGCCTTTTTCAAAAAAAAAAATTGTGATAAAGAAATTTTTTTTTTAAATAAAAAAAAAAGAAAAAAAAATTCTGATAAAGTTACGAACACATTGTGTTTTGTCTCATTCATAGAATCATTGTTATTTTTCAAAACCAATTATAAAAAAATTATTAATAAAAACAACTATAAGAAAAAAATCCTTGTTATGTTCAAATTTTGAATGGTAAAATAATATATTCATCTCAACATATCTTTAATATAAATAATTATAATATTATTGTTATTTTCGAATTTATTTTTTTATTAAAATATCTAAGTGGATAAAAATGTCTTTTCACATCTAATAAGGTGTAATTTTCAAAAAACAAAATCATAGATGTAATTTTCAAATTTTAAACTGTAAATAGAGTATTTGTCAAATTATCCCTAACATTTAATCATATCGTTCTTTTTTGTCTTTGTTGTAAATTCCATCCTTTTGATTATAACAGTGTTATAAAAAAAAGTCCATTCAACCAGAGCGGTCCGAACAACCAAGGAGCCCATTCAAATAAAAAATTACCAGTAATAAGTTTTATAATTAAAATTATTAAAAATATGCTTTAGAATGTTATAGTATTTGTACTAAAATCATAATATTTAAATGTGTTACACATTTTAGTAGGTAATTACAATCCGACTTGAAAAAAAATAATAATACAAATTGTATTGTTACCAAATAATTATATGCTAAATTTATTCACAGTAAAAGTCACTGACCAAGAGAGAAGAAAATGTTACGTCACGGGACCAATTTTTTATATGGTAAATTTATTTTCGGTCACAATAATTTTTATTTGACCATCATCAAGTCCAGTTCTGCATTCAACTTGCCTTTTTGGGTCAAACTGCATTCAACTTGCCAAATAAACAAAAATGACGTGAACAAAGATTTGGAAAAACAAGTTAAGAGGTCGGAAGTAGAGATGATAATTATGGACCTGGATCATTGGTCTGACCCATAAAAAATTGTTGCGAGATGATATTAAGATGAAGTTATTAGGATCGTAAATTTGCGGGCTTTGCAAGATTTGTAGGACTGGATCTTTTGCAAAATGAGCTAAAGCGGGTTATGTGAGATTACAAAGGTTCATAATTTTTTTCTTTATTCCTTTTTATTTCTTAAAAAGGGAAAGAGAGTGAAAAGAAGGTGATTTATGTGACTGCCTCTAAGAAAATGTAATGAGCTTCAACGAGGATGATTCGAGTTTCGCGATGATGATTCCTGCTGCAACGAATACGAGCTTTAGTGATGTTTTGATTTAATTTTCTCTTTTTATTTAATTTAGTGTTGACAGTTTGATTTGGTGTTTGGTTTTATTAAATTTTTGATTTCAGAAAATTGAAATATTGCTTACGAACTTATAAGTTATAATCTAATAAAAAATATTTTTTACAATTATCTTTACTTGGTATGGTAATATGTTTTGAGTGTGCAAAAGTAAATACAACTATTGTTTTGAATAAAAAATAATCAATGACTGATGAATCATGTCCAGTTGAACCGATAGCTTGAATCATGTCCTAGAATAGCCTGAGGCGTTTTAGAGCGACCAAAAGCGTTATGCTACATGTATTATCATATATCCCATGGACCGATCCATAAACATTTGTACATTCATTTGGAATGGATCTGGGCAGCTATTCTAGAAACCGCAGTCCATACAAACCTTGATCTGCTATGAACCGCTTGAAAAAAATCCTGCTATGGTTAGAAACAGAATAACCTGGTTACTATCTCTAGTCAAAAGTTAGAACCCATCCCAGATCCCATGTACAATGACTGAAATTAGGATTACTAGTTGGCATTTTTTTAACTTGTCTAGTTAGTTAGCATTACAATTTCACCACATAAAAGTTACTATTAAAATATTAATATATGTGATGGTAAGATAATATGTATTTTAATTATAATCTTAGAGTTTTTGACTCTTTCAAAAATTACAAAATTAAAATATAAAAAGTAAATACTAAAAAAGAGGAAAGAATAAGTTTTTTTTTCCGACATATGTCATTTTTGTTTAAGATAGATCCTTAAAGGAGAATGAAGGCTGGAATGCCACCATGCATATGGTTAATAATTTCAATTGTCAAGCAATTTTGTAAGAAATACAACATATGCTCTAATTGATGATGATACTCTTATAATTTTAAAAGAATTAGCTGACTAGTCCGCACCAAATTTTTTTTAAATAGGATGCTTTTACATTCTATTTACATGTATGGACATAAGAAATATCGAAAATATGGAAAAAGTAATGGTATTTAGTTTTAGAAGATGCATACATTATATTACAAATGTAAACATGATGTATAGCCATTTTAGCCGTGCTCGACCTTTCTCGAAAATATATTTTTTCTGGGAACATGGTTAACCAAAAATTATGATATTTAATTCAGATATATTCAGGTTTCAAATTTTTCAGCTTAAAAATTTCAGTCATATTTTAGTATTTATAAATTTTTATCGGATTCTATTCAAATTTTGCGGATTTGATTCGAATTCGAATAACTTTGTTTAAATCATTTAAATTTTTTAGAATCTATTTATGTTTAGAATTTCTAAAAAAATATGAAAATAAAATTATATATAATATCTAAATTAAATAATATATGCTAAGATATTTATATTTAACATAAAAATTAGTTTGTATGTCTTGAATATTTGGAAGAAGAATCATTAGATATCTCATTTTTCTTAGTGTTTGATATTGTTTAACTATTTTAGATATTTAATTTTGACTATCTATATATTTTTAAGTATTTTCTTTTGGATGTTAAATCTCAATTTATTCTGTCTTATTTCCTTTCATAAAAGCTCATGCTTTTTGAAAACAATAGCTCGCAACATTTATTTTGTATAAAGACGCAACACAAGTAACGCTATAAAACAGCAGCAACAAGAATTAATTTGCCTTTTATTTCCCACAGATCTTCCCTTCTAAGTACTTCTCTACGCTATACAATCCGCAAAGACCCTTTACCACGGGCATTGTAGCGGGAACCGGTAACTCAAAATCCGCACCAGACACGTCTCTGTCGCCATCATTACAGTCCCATGAAAGGGACTGTCTCCGAGCTTCCCTAATGGCTGATCTCGTTGCACAATGAACCGAAGCCGCTAGAAGCAAAGGCGGTTCACCCGATGCTTTAGAGGAGAGAACACGGTTTTTGTGATGTCCAGTGTTGAGAATCTCAACGAAGAACTTTTTAGGGATGGTATCGACCGTAGGAATTTTGTAGTCCCAAGTGCCTTGTTGCACCACAAGCCCTTTCTCATCTGTAGTGTACTCTTCCATCATGAAAAATCCTATTCCTTGAACAAAAGCTCCTTCCACCTTTTTTTCACAAACCATATCCTACTTATCTCAATAAATGACTCAAAAAAAAAAACAAGAATGTAAACTTTAGATACTAACCTGTCCTAAATCAACAGCAGGATTAAGACTTTTTCCGCAGTCATAAATGATATCTGATCTTAAAATCTCTGTTTTTCCAGTTAAAACGTCTACCTCCACCTGCAATTAAAAATCAGATATTATTGTTTTGAGTCTCTCAAAACATTAAAACAAACAATGTGACTTGCCTCACTGACTCCAACCCCATAGTTGAGATATTCCATGGAAGAAAACTCCGGCGTATACAATGCACTCGCCGATAAATTCACAGACTTAGCATACGCCTGATGTAAAAAAAAAAAAAATTACTGTTATATTGTTATTCATGCAGAGTTTGAGATAAAAATAACGATTAGAGTTACTACTAGGGTACCTACTTGTTGAATAATAAAATAAAGATTTAGAGTTTGATAATAAAAGAAAGATTAGAGTTACTACTAGGCTACTTACTTGTTGAATAAGCATGTTCCATGTCACTGAACCTGACTTCAATTGATCCATTGTAGGTTTCAGCCTCTCCACCAAGATAACACAGCAAAGCCTAACAGCTTCACAACTGTTCTCTGATGTCGTGCTACCAGCAGTGAAACCTCCTTGGATCAAACCGAGTGTGTCGGCCTGAACAACACGTACCTTCTCTAACAGCTTATCACTTCCGGTGCATTTCATCAAACCAAGACCATAAGCAACCATCTGTTTCACTTTGGTCCACAGTCCTTGACCTATCTCAATACCTCCAACCTCAACCACAACTGAACCATCGCTCAAGATACTTACTCTACCCGGTGTCGCCCTCTGCATAACTTGATGGACAATAGGTACACGAGATAACCCTCTCTTTCGCCATACGTTGCATTTATTAAACTCCTTAACCATCTCACCTCTTTTCTTGAACTCTGAAGATATCTCTACCTTGTCCCATAGTAAAGGCAGTGTGTACTCCTCGGCCTCACCGGAGATATGCTTGTAGAACTTCCCGAGGCTGTGGTAAGTGTGAAGGTTTATCTTTCTCACTTCATCAGCTTCCATGTGAAGAAAAGAGGCTACATTCTCGATAATGGACTCAGCAATGTATGAGCCTTGTACTTCCCCTGGAGCTCTCATCGCTGTTCTGCTAGGAAGATTCGTCTTGCACACTTTTACATCAAAGGACAAGGCTCCCCAGTCATACTTCCTTAGCGGACCCATTATATTCCGAGGTAAGATAGGGCTCACGTCTGGCTCTATCCCTGCGTCTATCAGCATTGTTAGTTCTAGTGCTGTGAGCTTACCATCTGATCTGAAACCGACGTTGTATGTCACTTTCATCGGATGCCTTCCTCCAGCCATTATCATATCCGTCTTTCGGTTTAGATACATCTTAACTGGACGCTGCAGTTTGTGAGCAGCCAGTGCGCATGCTGTTGCGACCTGAAACATCACATCTCAATGAGCATTTACAACATTACACAACTATCCTAACAGAGAACAAACACTTCACCACAATACCGCTAGGAGGAAACTAGTATTACATGGTTTCAGGCCTTGGAGATTACGGGTTTTGGCCTAGAACCTCCTGATATTCAAAAAAGAAAATATACTTACAGGCATTGATTTAACAGCTTTGCCACCAAAGCCACCTCCAACTCTTCTGGTGATGACTCGGACGTTATGCTCTGGAATGCCGAGACATGTTGCGATTACCGAATGAACGTACTCAGGTGCTTGAGATGAACTGAACACTTTGATACAGTTGTCTTCATCTGGCAAGGCAAGTGCTGTTTGTGGCTCCATATAGAAGAAGTACTGTGAACCGAGTCTGAACTGGATATATATAACCAAGTTTCAAAAACACACACACATGAGATAGTGAGCTTAAGGATGTAACTACAAACATTTAAAGGATAGTTGTGATACCTCAGCCAAGAGTATCTTTCTATCAGCTTCTTTCATTCCATGTAAAACATCACCTACTGGTTCAGGGTAAAACATTGGATGTACCTCAAAGAAGCTAGATCTCTTAACCGCATCTTCGACCGTTAATATCGGCTCTTCTTCTAAGTTCTTTATATCATACTCAACAACTGCAAGTTTTGCTGCCCTGTCTGCATGTTTCTGTGTGTCTGCAACCTGAAAAGGCCGCATACATTTTAATCAGTAATGCAAAGAAAGAAGAGAATCAATTAAAGTAAAAAAATTTTGGAGTTTACCACAAGAGCAATTCTTTGACCAGCACATCTAGTTAGTTCATCTGCAAATAAAGGTCCCGGTCCAAAAACAGTCTTGGAACCAATGTTTTGTCCCTGTTGTGGTATGTCCTTGAAAGTAAGAAGTGCAAAAACTCCAGTGGGGGTCACGTTCTCACTGAAGCTTATGCTTTTAATCTTAGCCAAAGGCTCCGTGCTATATATAAACGCTCCATGTAGACAGTTTGGTAAAGTCGGAATATCATCAACAAAAACAGCTTCACCTGAGAGAATGAAAACTCATGTCTTAATGCAAAATCAAGCTACTAAAACTGACAAAAAAAACATAAGGAATAAAATGCTAACCAGAAGCCTGTAATGCAGCTCCAGCTTTGATAACAGCTTCACCAACAGGCTGAAATTCATCACTCTCTACCACTTGTTGTGAAGATGAGAGGAAGGGAAGAGATTCTGTGTGATCCACATGGCCGTTGCTATGTTTTTCCCCTGAATCAAGACTACTACATATTCTATGGCCATTATTACCAATCAGTGGATAGCAAAACTCAAAAAGGAACCCAACAGCCAAGGCTTTCCTGTACTCAGGGTAAGAGGTATCTTTGCTTGGAACTATGATTCCTCTAAGTAAACCCATAGCTTCATACAAAACACTGTGGCTCAGCAATATACCCGTCAGGAAATGCTCAACTTCTGTCGCCCTGATTGAATGATCACCGCCATAAGAACCAAAAGCCAACAAACATTTATTCACCACTACACCTCGTCCTGAGTGAGACACTCTTGCAAAGAAAGCAGCATTCACATACGGCAATGCGTTTCCAATAGAGCGAGGCGCGGCTCGATAAGTCTCAAAGAGCAATTCAGTGTCATCCCTAGAAGGAGCAGTCCATGCTGGAATGTCAACTTTTAAAAGTACTCGTTTGGTGTCTAATATTGGAGGTAAGTCAAGAAACTCTTGAAGCTTAACCTTCTCAATTTCCCTGACATTAAGCATAAACACAGACGCATCTGCAGCGAGCAAAAGAGTGGTAATATCAGAAGGAAACTTCCTGCTCTGTGCCATGACTAGATTACCGCCGATACTCGCTGAGTTCCTGATAGAATGGTTGCCAATTTTCTCCATATGAGCCGCCATTTTCTCGAAATCAGAATCCTTCAGAGCATCAATCACATCAGATATAGTCACAGCTGCTCCAATCTCAATACCATTCTCATCTTTCTTGATCATAGACATCTCCGGAATGTGGCTGATATCAACATACCTATCAAACCGTTCCTCATCTTTGTAATAACCACTCCCTGTGTTGCCAACAACTAACTTCAACGAGCCTACAGAATTAGCAGACTCCAATACGTTACAAAGCTCGTTTACGCAAAAAGGAGTAGTCCAATGATACCTCGAATGATCCAAACCATTACGAACTTTCTTCTTCTTCTTCAAGAACTCAGGGAATAACCTCGTCACAAGATGGTCGTCAGGGTTGTAAGGAGGCAAGCTTTTCACCATAACCTCTTTACTATCTCCCTTCTTCCAAAAGGAGTTCAACCCCAAATCCTCAATGTCAACATCAGCAGCGAAACTCTTACAAGCATCAACGATGGGACGGTAACCAGTGCATCTACAGAGGTTTCCAGCAATTGCTTTCTCAGCTTCGGAGACAGTGAGGGTGTTGTTATGATTAATGTGAGCATTTGAGAGAGCAGAGTAGAGAGAAATGCACATCCCTGGTGTGCAGAAACCGCACTGAGAGGCGTGGAACCCGGCGAAACGGTTGTGGATTGGGTGGAAACCTTTTTTAGTGTTTCCGAGACCTTCTGATGTTGTGATGGAACATCCGTTTATACTACAGAGAAGCGTGAGGCAAGAGTTTATGCTATGTTCCTTCACTTGATCTGAGTCTGGATCGTGTTTCGATAGCATTACTAAACAAGCGCCACATCCTCCTGCACTAAAACCAGACAGGACACATTTTTAGTCAGACAAGACATTAAAAATCTGTCTGAAAGATGCAGAAACTCAGATTTGTTTCAAGACCCTTTTTAAAAAAACACTACAAAAGAAAGATAAGAGAGGAAAAGAGAGTTTGCCTTCGCTACAACCGAGCTTGACACTCTTGAAAGGAGTGTTGAATCGCAAGAACTCGAGTAAAGTCGTAGAAGGGTCAACAGAGTTGACTTTGAATCTCTCTCCGTTAACTGCAAATTCCAGATCTTTTCCTTCCATTTTGTGTTGGGAAAGAGTGACGGACGAGACGGAAGGCTTGTTAATTAAATATTCGATTTCTAAGAAACCAAAACACACGAATTGTATGAATTGAAGTGAACAAGAGTGATCAAGTAATTGAAGTGAGAGAGAGGTTGAGGAAGAAAAAGAGTTTCGTATCGGATTCTCTAATTATAGTTGCGCCTTTTTGACGCACAGATCTTTTTCTCTGTCTCTGTTAAATTTGTTTTCAGACAAAAGCTCGAAGGCTGTCTATGCGCCACGAGTCAGTACATCAATAGTCAGTCTAGTAAGTAAAAGAGAATATTGACATTTGGAAAGGTATCTCAAAATCCAATCCAACCTCAGTTCTCTAAATTTGTATTTTATTATCTTTTCTAAGAGCAACCTTCATCAAACGATTATTTTCAATATACTAAAACACAAGGTGGGATCTCATCTCGGGTATTTCGATTTCGAATAAAACCTGTTCAGTTCAGTCGAGAAACTATACCCCAATTCTACTTGGTAATATTTTGGTTCGGATTTAAGTCGTTTTTAACCAATTCCAAGTCGATTCGGATATAGAATTTTAAATTCGAAATAGTGTATTTTAAAATAATATTTTAGTAATTTTAAAATATTTACAACAAAGTTGAATTAGTCTAATGGCAATGGTGTGTTTAACATAGAATTTTCTAGATTTTAACATAGAAGTAGATATTGATCTGCGTAACCAAATGGATATTTGTTTTAGAACAATTAAGTGATATATATTTTTAATGTTAATCATATAATTAAATGTTTATATAACTATTTTAAATACAATAATTATATAATTCACATGTTATATTAACCAATTGTTAAAACTGTATGTATTTGTCACTTCTCACTATATATTTATTTTATTGTATTTTGTATTTAGTTATCAAGCAAATTAATATATTCATGAAAAAATATATTTGAAAAGTATTTTATTTTAATTTATGGTAAATTCTGACCTGACCTTCAAAGCTGAATTTTCTTTTACTAATATTTCTATGTTTATTCATTTTAGATAATATATTATTGTATATACAAAAGTCTAAGATATGTTAATTTTTAGACATATATTATAGTTTGCTAATTTTAAGCCATTTTGTAATCAATTTTATTTTTAATATAAATCGTTTCTATATATGAAAATAAAATTTATAAATTTAATATATTTTTAATTCAATATAATAATTATATTTTAACATGATGATATATTTAAAATGAAAATATATCATGATTAAAGTAATATAAAGATTTTATATTATTAACTTTCATGAAATACATGTTAATTTATATATATATATATATATGTATTATATAGTTTGATAATGTTAACTCGTCTTACCAACATATTAGATTTTATTTTTGAACATAAATATTTAATACTTACGAAAATAAAATATATAAATTTATTAATTTAATACAGTTTTATTATATTAAGCTTTATATAATATTTTTTTAATATGATTGATTATGAATATATAAATAGATACTATGATATAATTTTTTATTTATAAACTTAACTGAATATAAAATGTATAATAATATATGAAACTAATTTCAAAACTAGTGAAAATATTTAAAGATAATATCAAAATGAAGATCTTGTAAAATATTTTAAACAAATTTGTTAGAATTTAAATAAATACATTTGTACTGAAAATAAAAAGATATAAAAAATATTATAATTAAAATATTTTAAAGAATTTATATATTAGTAGTTTTAATGGAATACATATAGTAGAAATTTCTAGTAATAGTGCATTTTAAAAAAAAACACATAAATTAAGGTAATGACTTCTGTTTTAATATGTAAGATTCAGTTTAGACGTGTATCTAATTGGATAAGAATAAAAAAAAACTAAAATCAAAAACAATATCCATAAATAATCACATGTAATACGCATCTTATATATTAAAATAGAAGTCATGACTTCATTTCATGTGTGATATTTTAAAATGATCCATCTACTAGAATTTATAACATTACATTATTCAATCATTATAACATTTATTGGATTCCTTAATAATATTTATTGGGCTTATTGAAAAATTTTATTGGGTTAATAATAATTAGGTGATCCATTGAATTTATAGATAATATAATAAAGTACATGTTTAAATTAAATTTATATAATTTAATGTTTTAATAGTATAAGTTAATTATTTATATATTTTTGATGTTAACTTTTAAAAATTATATAGTTTATTTTTAAAAATAACAAATCATCATCATTTTCTAACAATAATTAATCTATAACCTTAAACCAATAAAAAGTTTTTTTAAATTATATTGTTTATAGATAGTTTAATAATAATTAGGTGATCCATTGAATTTATAGATAGTATAATAAAATACATGTTTAAATTAAATTTATATAATTTAATGTTGTAATAGTATAAGTTAATTATTTATATATTTTTTTATGTTAACTTTTAAAATTATATAGTTTATTTTTAAAAATAACAAAATCATCATCATCATTTTCTAACAATAATTAATCTATAACCTTAAACCAATAAAACAATTTTTAAATTATATTGTTTACTAAAAAATAACAAAAACTAATTGTTTAATTATATACTCCATAATATGAAGCTAACAGTTAAAATTTTTGTTAAACTTTATAAATTTGAGAAATGTTACAACAGCTTTAGAGATGACAATAAAACAATATTTTACCAATCTTTGCATATATTTAAAAGTTCAATAATGAAATAATGATCCAAATATATATATATATATATATAATAGAAAATACAAATACATGTGAAAATTAATATATCATAAAATTGTTATTTAAAAAAATTAGATATACACACCTCATATAATATATACCAATTTCGAAGTGTAACCAAAATATTTATATAAAAGTAAATGAAAACAAATATCCGCGCGGTTGCGCGGGTTGAGATCTAGTTAAATATTTAATTTGGGGGTTTCCCAAAACAAACTTAAGAGGTTTTAACGTTAAAAGTCGTTCAGGTTTATACATGATACTTGAGCGGCCGAATTAGGTAAAATCGGTTCGGTTCTCCTAGTTTATGGTTTTTAATGCACAAGCAGTCAAGCCTAAAGCTGAGACCAAATATGTTTGATCTGGTTTGATTGTAAACCCAAAAGAAAACCGGTCGGTCTCAGTTTCTTTCACTTGACTTCTCGTCTTCTTTTTTTATTTATTTATTTATTGTAAACCCAAAAGAGAAGACTTCTTGTCTTCCTTCTCTCCAGATTATTTGTATACTTTTTCACTGTTTGTTTCTTTTTTTTTTCTTGCGTCTCGCTCATCCTTTTAATACTAAACACAAGTGTGACATCTCTAAGTTTTACCCAGATTCGTGTGTGAGGCTGTGTTATGTGTTTGTCTTTGCGTTCTTAATCTGAAGGAAGGAAATGGAACGAAAACGGTATGTCTCTCTTTCGTTTTGTTCGGTCGGAATCACTTTTTCACAACTGTAAAGATCCAATCCTAATTTCTTTTAACCCCAAACCCCATAATCTTTATTTATTTGATTTTATATTTTTGTTACAGCAAAATTGGTGGTAGAAGATTGAGAAATCGAGATGCTATGAAAATTGACATGATCAGTGAGTTACCTGACGCTTTGCTCCTGCATATATTGTCTTCACTTCCAACAAGAGATGTCATAGCAACGAGTGTTTTGTCTAAACGATGGAGATCTCTTTGGAAGATGGTTCCAAAGCTCGAGTTTGATTTTGATACTGACCATGTCTCTTCAGAGGATGTCTACAGGTTGCTGATTTTACATGAAGTTCCGTTTCTAGAAAGTTTGCATTTGAACATCAGAGGTTCAAAAAAAAGTCGTTTGGATATTGGAATCTTGATTGGAATTGCATTTTCACGCCATGTGCGTGAACTGGTGTTGAATGAGGATTACGAGACAGTCAGGTTTCCGAGTGTATTGTGTAGCTATAACAATACACTCGAGGTATTGAAGCTCAGCAATAACGTTCTTTTAGACTTCCCTTCTCGGGTCTGTTTCAATGCCCTTAGAAAGCTGCATCTTTACCATGTGAAATTCAAAGATGAAGCATCTGTTTGCAACCTCTTATCTGGCTGCCCTAGGCTTCAAGATTTGGTTGTGGAACTAATCAGCAGTTTTGGTGTGCAGACGTACACTATTGATGTGCCATCACTGCAGAGGCTAACCATAGAGGAAGATAGTACTAGAACAAGTGCAACTTGTGGCGGCGGCTATGTGATAAATGCACCATCTCTGAAATACTTGAACATCAAATGCTTCTATTGTCTTGACTTCATACTAATTGAGAATGCGCCAGAGCTTGTGGAAGCAAAGATCAATAATGTTTCTGATATAGACAATGATAACATTCTTGCATCTCTTACTTCAGCCAAGCGTCTTTCCTTTCTGCCTTTGCATCTGCCTTTAGAGGTTAAATTTTTTAACACCGTTGTTTTGTGTATCTATCTACCTTTGGGCAAACGTTGTTTTGTTAGTATATTTAGTGATAATGCTTAACCATTTATCCACAGATTAAGTTTCCTACTGGTAGCATCTTCTATCAGCTGGTGTTTTTGGAGATACGTATAAAAGGAATAAATGGGTGGAATCTACTTTCGTTCATGCTCGATAGCTCTCCTAACTTGCAAATCCTCAAGCTCGACAGCGTAAGCAATTTACTACCACAATCTGTTTTGATGGTCTAATAATATCATATTAATTGCATTGTTGTTGTCAGTCATATCGTAAAGAGTGTCCGGTGGGGTGGGAATGGAATCAGTCTCAATGTGTACCAGAATGTCTGCTGCTCCATCTGGAGACGTTGGTGTGGACAGAATACAAATGGCAACGAGAAGATGAGAAACAAGTGGCCACGTACATCCTTAAGAATGCTAGTGAGTTGAAGAAAGCAACTTTCTCCACAACATACATCGGACTGAAAGAGCTGGAGAAGTTGGAAAAGAGGCGAGAGATGCTCAAAGAGTTGGCTAGTGTGGTCAGAGCGTCTAAGTCATGTCACCTTGTGTTCGAACCAGATGATCTCTAGAATGTTATTCACTGCTGTTTTGGCAGATGGGAAATTCTCATTTTCTTGAATCTTTCAAGAATTCTAGTGGATTCTTGAGTGGTAAGAGTTTGGTGCATTTTGATGATTAAACGTTGTTTGGTTGTTTTGGTAAAGACTGTTGTGACATCTATTTTGAGATTGGAACTGAGGCTGATGATGGTAACGTGAACATTTAACAGACTGTTTGTTAATCTGTAGATTCTAAAGTAGTTTTTCTTTTTGGTGTTTAAAAATCTATTTTGCATCCAATCAAGATTTTAAGTGAAGTAAATTTTATAATTTTTAGGAAAACCATATTTTCAATTCTTTAACCATTTTGTACATAAGACCAGAATACACATTTTATGGGGTTTTACTAGTACTAAGACTCTTTTACCTTTTTGCAATACATTAATTATTTAATATATTAAAGAACCCATAATTTTTTAAAACGCATAAACGAATGGTTTACAAATATTGTTCTCTACAATTCTTTTTTTTTTTTGGTCAAATTTGTTCTCTACAATTCAAACTTTGAATTTCTTAGGTAAATCCATGTTGTAATAACTAATATTTTGTACAACAAACCTCAAAGAAACATGTTTTATTTTACAAAAAATAAAATATTTTCGAAAAAAATATCTACTCTATAACATCCCCTTTTATCCAGAAACACACATGACTAAGGATTTCTAGCGGACTTTCGGGTCGGATTCAGATCGGTTATTTTCGGATCCAAATCTTTTGACTCCTATGACATTTGGATCTACTAGGTACTTGGATATTTTAGGTTCAAATTGGTTCTTCTCGAGTCTGGGTTAATTCATGTCTATAATTGAAATACGATATGTGATTTTTGGATCCATAACGATCTAAATTGGATTCTGGTATTTAGAATTTAAAAAGAACTTAAATCACCCAAAATCGATAAATATTTAGTAAAATAACTAATATTAAATTATTAATAATTTAAATTAAATTTTTTACTCTCTAATTTTGATAATTAAATTTTCATATTACTTGAAAATATTATAATAATATAATTTAAAATAGGGATATTTTCTCAAATAGCTTATTTCTATGTTTTTGTCACAAAAAGAACCTTAAGAAAGCAAATAACTAAAAGAAGTTTCATTAAAGAAGCAAAAGATTTTTAGGTCTCCTACTTTATAAATATAAAAAAAAAAAATTTTATAATTTCAGATTATATGTTATCAAATTCAAACTTAAAAAAAAAAGCTTAATCCCAATCGAACCCGAGATGATGTTTGATTCGGTTTGATTGTAAACCGAAAAGAAAACCGGTCAGTCTCAGTATCCTAGTTAATTGACTTCTCGTCTTCTTTCTCTCTAGATGATGCTTTCAACCTTATTTTTCACTGTTGCTTTCTCCGTTCTTGCGGCTCGCTCATCCTTTTTCTACTAAACACAAGTGTGACATCTCTAAGCGTTACCCAGATTCGTGTGTAGCTGGCTGTGTTATGCGTTTGTCTTTGCATTAGGAGCTTTCTTAATCTGAAAGAAGTATTGTTTGTTTCTGTTCACGGAAATGGAACGAAAACGGTATATATCTCTTTGTTTTGAATTCCATTTTTATGTTCTTTGGTCGGAATCCATTTCTCTGGGTTTTGTTTACTGTAAAGATCCAATTCTAATTTGCCTCAACCCTAAAACCCATATCTTTAGTTATTTGAATTTTCATTTTTTGTTACAGCAAAATAGGTGGTGAAAGATTGATAAATCGAGATGCTATGAACAAGGACATGATCAGTGAGCTGCCTGAAGCTTTGCTCCTGCATATATTGTCTTTACTTCCAACAAAAGATGTCATAGCCACTAGTGTTTTGTCTAAACGATGGAGATCTCTCTGGAAAATGGTGCCAAAGCTTGAGTTTGAATTTGATACTGAACAGGTCTCTTCAGAGGATGTCTACAAGTTACTGCTTTTGCATAAAGCTCCGTTTCTGGAAAGTTTGCATTTGAACATCGAAGATTCAAAAGGTCGTTTGGATATTGGGATATTGATTGGAATTGCATTTTCACGCCACGTGCGTGAATTGATGTTGGATCTCTACAATGATGATCAAGAGACAGTCAAGTTTCCTAGTGTATTGTGTAGCTATAACAACACACTCGAGGTGCTGAAGCTTGAGTATCACGTTCTCTTAGACTTCCCTTCTCGGGTCTGTTTCAACGCCCTTAGAGAGCTTCATCTTTGCCGAGTGGAATTCAAAAACGAAGCATCTGTTTGCAACCTTTTATCTGGCTGCCCTAGGCTTCAAGATTTGGTTGTGACACGGTATGGTAATTCCGATGCGGGGACTTACACTATCGCCGTGCCAACGTTACAGAGGCTAACCATTGAAGATGATAGTGGCATAGATGTGGATGGTGGAGGCTATGTGATAAACACACCATCTTTGAAATACTTGAACATCGAATGCTTCTATACTCTTGACTTCATTCTAATTGAGAATGCGCCAGAAGAGCTTGTGGAAGCAAAGATCAATAATGTTTCTGATATAGACAATGATAACATTCTTGCATCTCTAACTTCAGCCAAGCGTCTTTCCTTTCACTTACCCTTAGAGGTAAAAAGTTTAACAATGTTTTTTGTATCTGCCTTTGGGTTTTGTTAGTACTAATGCTTAACCATATCTATCCAAAGATTAAGTATCCTACAGGTAGCATCTTCTATCAACTGGTATCTTTGGAGCTGCATGTAGATAAAATAGTTGGGTGGAATCTACTTTCATTCATGCTCGATAGCTCTCCTAAATTGCAAATCCTCAAGCTCGACAGCGTAAGCAATTACCAGAGCTTTTTTTTTTTCTTATCATATATTTTGATGATGTAGTATCATACTAATTGCGTTATTATCAGCCATTTCGTGAAAAGTGTCCGGTGGGCTGGGAATGGAATCAGCCGAGAGGTGTACCAGAATGTTTGTTGCTCCATCTGGAGACGTTGGTGTGGACAAGATTCAAATGGCAACGAGAATATGAGAAACTAGTGGCCACATACATTCTCAAAAACGCTAGACAGCTGAAGAAAGCATCTTTCCCCCCAACGCCCATCGAACCCGAAGAGCTCGAAGAACTGGAAAAGAGGCGTGAGATGCTGAACGGGTTGGCTAGTTTGGACAGAGGGTCGACCTCATGTCACCTTGTGTTCGAATCCGAATGATCTCTGCAACGTTTACTGCTTGTTTTGGCAAATGGGAAATTTTCAACTTGTCGACTCTTATGGTAAGTGTTTTTGCGTCAGCCTCAACTAATAATCTTGACTTGTTTTTCAGAATCTGGTTGGTAATAGTCTGGTGGATTTTACTTACTAAATGTTGTTTGGTTGTTGTAAAAGACTGCTGTGACATCTTTTTCTTAACTTTGGTAATTTCGGAATGGAACTTAGGCTGATGTAAAGTGAACTTTTACACTTCTAGTCAAAAGATTTGGTGTTAATTCAGAGTTATGAAGTTCAGAGGTTGACTCCGCAATTTTCTTTTGGGTTTACAATTAAACCGAGTTAAACATTATCTAGGATTAGGCTGTTGAGACCTGTACTTATTTCAAAATTCTGACAGCCATTATGACAATGAAGATTTAATGACTTTTGTTAATGTTAAGTCAAAGGGGTGGGCACTTCGGTTATTTTATCAATTCGGTTTGATTTGGTTAATTTAATTCTAAAAAAAATTTAGCTGAAGTAATACATAATTAGTTTGGTTTGGAACGATTTTGGTTCAGTGTTTATTCGAGTTGGTTTGATTGTAAACCTAAAAGAAAACCGGTCGGTCTCGATATCTTTTATACTTAGACTTCACGTCTTCTTTCGCTCCAGATCTTTCTACCTTATTTTTCATTGTTTTTCTTTCTTTCTTTTCTTGCGGCTCGCTCATCCTTTACTACTAAACACAAGTGAAGAACTTTGAAGCTGAATCATTACCAGTAACATACATTCGTGTGTTAGGATGTCTTTGTCTGAAGCGTTCTTAATCTGAAGGAATTATTGTTTGTTTCTTTGTTTTGAAATCCATTTTTATGTGCTTTGGTCGGAATCCATTTATCTGGTTTTAATAAAACTGTAAAGATCCGATCCTAATTTTTTTTCAACCTTAAAACCCAATATCTTTAGTTATTTGAATTTTTGTTACAGCAAAATTGGCGGTGAAAGTTTGAGAAAAAATGAATGAGGACATGATCAGTGAGTTGCCTGAAGCGTTGCTCCTGCATATAGTGTCTAGAGTTCCAACAAAAGATGTCATAGCCACTAGCGTTTTGTCTAAACGGTGGAGATCTCTTTGGAAGATGGTGCCAAAGCTTGAATTTGAATTTGATACTGACCATGTCTCTTCAGACGATGTCTACAGGTTGCTGATTTCACATAACGCTCCGTTTCTGGAAAGTTTGCATTTGGACATTGGTCGTTTGGATATTGGAATCTTGATTGGAATTGCATTTTCACGTCACGTGCGTGAACTGGTGTTGGATTTCTACGATGATGATCAAGAGACAGTCAAGTTTCCGAGTGTACTGTGTAGCTATAACAACACACTCGAGGTGCTGAAACTTGAGTATCACGTTCTCTTAGACTTTCCTTCTCGGGTCTGTTTCAATGCCCTTAGAGAGCTTCATCTTTTCCTTGTGAAATTCAAAGATGAAGCATCTGTTTCCAACCTCTTATCTGGCTGTCCTAGTCTTCAAGATTTGGTCCTTACACGATCTAGTCATGTCGATGCGGTGAGGTACACTATTGCAGTGCCAACGTTACAGAGGCTAACCATAGAAGAGAATGGTCGCACAATTGTAAATGGTGGAGGCTATGTGATAAATGCACCATCTCTAAAATACTTGAAAATCCACTTCCTCAGTTGTATGGACTTCTTTCTGATTGAGAATGCGCCAGAAGAGCTGGTGGAAGCAAGGATCGGTCACATTCCTCATATAGCCAATGAGAACATTATCGCATCTCTTACTTCAGCCAAGCGTCTTTCCTTATTCTTTCCCGTAGAGGTAAACAATGTTTTTTTTTAACTACATTTGTTTTGTTATTACTTAGTACTAATGGTTAATCAACTATCAACAGATTAAGTTTCCTACCGGTAGCATCTTCTATCAGCTGGTATCTTTGGGGCTTTATATGGATAAAATAAATGGGTGGAATCTACTTTCGTTCATGCTCGATAGCTCTCCTAACTTGCAAAGCCTCAAGCTCGACAGCGTAAGCTATTACCATCCAGAGCGTTTTTTTTTGTTTTTGTAAATATATTTTGATGATGTAGTATCCATATTAATTGCTTTGTTATCAGCCATATCGCAAAGATTGTCCGGTGGGGTGGGAATGGAATCAGCCGAAGTGTGTACCAGAATGTCTGTTGCTCCATCTGGAGACATTGGTGTGGATAAGATACAGATGGCAACGAGAAGATGAGAAACAAGTTGCCACATACATTCTCAAGAACGCTAGACAGTTGAAGAAAGCAACTTTCTCCACAGTGCCCATCAAACCCGAGGAGCTCGAAGAACTGGAAAAGAGACGTGAGATGCTCAACGAGTTGTCTAGTGTTGTCAGAGGGTCTACTTCATGTCACCTTGTGTTCAAACCAGATGATCTCTCGAATGTTGTTAACTGCTGTTTTGGCAAATGGGAAATTCTCAACTTGTTGAATCTTTCAAGAAGTCCAGTGGATTCTTAAGCGATAAGGGTCTGGTGGCTTTTAATTATTAAACGTTGTTGGTAAATGACTGTTGTGACATCTATTTAATTTTTTTTTTTTTGGTAATTTGGGAATGGAACTGTGGCTGATGATTGTAACGTGAACATTTAAGAGGTTGTTTGATTGTTGATTCTAAAGTAGGTTTTCGCTTTTGTTTTTCCAAAATCTAAGCATCCAACGAAGATCTAAAGGTAAAGTATTTTTTTCTATTTTTTAGGAAAACCAGATTTTCAACTCTATAACCATTTTGTACATAAAAACAAAACCAGAATCTATGACTTTTCAACTTTTCATCTCTTTGCAATACATTTATTATTTAATATATAAAAGAATCACATCTACAGTTTTTAAAAACGCATGATAAAAATAATAGGGGAATTAGGCCAAGTAACCATTAGAAACAAAAAAAAAAAAAAAATAACCATAGCAAGGCTTTAGTTATGATATGATTGATTTTTTTCTCTTTATTCCCCATTTTATCCTCAGCGTGCGCGTGGAAACAAATTGTAGCTTTCATTTTCTAAACTGTTGTTGTAATACATTATATTGGGTTACAAACTGGAAAAAAACAAGAGAGATTGAGGAGGTGTCAAAACTTTGGTGATGGAAGGAAGTGGAAATCTGAGCTATATTCTTCAACCATGAAAAGAATAGTTTAAACTGTAATTGTAATACATTATATCTGGTCACAATCCAATTTTTTATGAAGAACTAATTGAAGTAGTTTACGGTGGGGCTGGACACAACAGTGAAGGATGAAGAAGATGAAGTATAAGTCTATACTATATGAAAAAAAATAATAGTATAGTAACCGTTTACCGATTCCTCTCATTCTCCCACTCCCTCTCCCTCTCCTGCTCCCCCTCCCCC